TGTGTGTGTGTGTGTGTGTGTGTGCGAGTGCGGCCACCCTGTCCGAGCCAGGAAAGCATGCCACATATACACATAAAACATGTATACATATTTATATATATATATATATATAAATGTAAATGTACTTGTATATATATGTATATACAAAGATGCATATACACAATAATGCATTGGCGCTTCGCGCCGTGCACCTTGGTCCTTGATGTGCGGCATGCATGCGGAAGGGTAGGAAGTTCTGTGTTTTGAGCCAATTGAACATTCGGGTGCGGCATGCAACTTCTGTGCGGCATGCAATCGGATGTGCGGCATGCTGATCATTTGACCACACTTCTGTGTTGCCTTTTGCTCGAGACACAGCGTTTGGGGCCCATGCTGGTTAACATTATATGTGTGTACATGTGTACATGTGTGTACACGCACCCACACATGCACACACCGATCCTGGTCCTTGGATGGGTCTGGCCAGGACCGGTGTCGGTGCACAGCTGGCGCCGCGAAGGTGGAGGCGCGCGTGGACGCGCGCGTGGCCGAGGCCCTGGCCTCCCTGGACGCACGACTCTCCGAGGCGGTGTCCAGCCTCGACGCGCGCCTGGGGAAGGAGATCAAGGCGATCTCGTGGGCCGTCTCCTTTTTGATGTCGTCTTGTAGCATGGGGCGGAACGAAGACAGGACGAGGGAGAACACGACAACGAAACGACGAGGGTCGGGGAGAGGGGGGGAGGGAGGCCGGAGGCTGGTCAGAGGATCTGCGCCCCCTCGCTGATCTTGTTGCCCCCTCGCGGCCCCGACCTGCCGCCCCTTTCGGCCGTCGGCCGCTCGTCGTCGTCGTCGTCGTCCGCGTCCTCGTCCTCCTCGTCCTCGTCCTCGTCGTCGTCTGGCTTGAGCCCTGCCAAGGCGCTGCTGCGCGACCAGCAGGAGGTGGCCAGCTCGCTGAGGGCCGACGTGCGGGCGGAGATGGCCGAGGCCGGCGGGGGCCGCCCCGGCTCGGGGCGGCGCCAGCAAGAAGCCGCCTGCACCGATACACGCCGGTCGCCGAAAGTAGGACGGTGGTGGAGGCCCAGATCCTGAGCTATTTGAGGCGCCGTGCTGCTCCTGGCATCGCTCGGACGTGTGCCCTTTTCCGTCGGCGAGGACCATCGAGGACCATCCTTGATCATTTTACAAAAAAACGCACGAAACCGAAACAAAAACACAGGAAATGAAATGGACGTCCGAGCGATGGCCAGTGCTTGAAGAGTCGAGTGATCTTCCCTCTTTTCCTGCCTCTTCTGGGGGCGGGCGGGAGCCTCATTTGCTTCCAACGCCTTGCTGCTCCATGTTTCTACCCACTTCTGGCCGACGGGTATTCTGGCAGGGCCGATCCGGGGGCCTCTGGCCAAAATGGGTGGAGAGGTGGACACCCTGCCTAAAAAAATAGCACCCCGCCCCAGGAGGCCCCAAGTGGCGCCCAAGAAGCCCCCAAGCCCAAGAGGCACCCAAGAGGCCCAGCAGAGCCCCAAGAGCACCCCCAAGATGGCTTCAAGAGGCCCAATCGTCGTCTTCGTCGTCTTCTTCGTCGTCGTCTGTGGCCTTGGATCGGGGCTCGGGGAGTCGGGGACGTCCACCAGGGGGGCGATGGCTGGGTTTGGGTGGATATCAAGGCCGTGGCCATGAAATCTTCTTTCGATGCCCGAAGGAGAGCAAAAGGCGGAACACGCGGGCCGTGCACAGTTTATGTTTATTCAGTCTTTTCTATCCTTATATGTATTTATACATATATATATATGTATTGCCTAGTCCCCCCCGTCGTCCTGTTGGACGCGTCCCTTTTGGACGCCCCAGAGACCTTCCAGAAGGGCTACAAAACAACACCACGACCTTTGAGCTTGGACTCCGGTCGAGGTTCCCAGCCGAACGGATGGATTCCATCGTAGAGGTCCGGAGGGCAATTTTCTAGCACTCTGGCAGGCCAAGGCTCTGGACGCCCCCACGCCGGCTGCCCCCCGACGCCGACTCTGGCCAGGCCCACCACTCGGGCACAGCGGTCGACGCTCGTGCCTCGGCCTGGCCAGGCCGAGAGGGCGCGGGCACCGGCCGGCCCCTCCCCTTGCTGTCTCGCTTTCCGCTCCGCTGTCCAGAGTTAAGTCGGGCCTGTCCCTCTACAGGAGGCAAAATCCAAAAGTAGTGAAAAAATGCTGTGGGGGCGATTCTTTTATTGAGTTTGAGCATTCTTGGAGCATTTTCTTATTATTTTTCATTGTTCCTCCGGAATCCGCCTGTAGGGGGACAGGCCCGACCTGAGTCTAGATCACACTTCGGAGTGATCTCAGCAGCGACTGGGGAGGGTTCGCGGCCGCAGAAGAAGCGGAGGGGCCTGGCCATGAGACGGCGCTGGTGCATGTAGGTGGTCTCTCCTGCAGAGATTTCCCGGGAGTGGAGGCCTCCAGAGGCTTCGTGGTTTCTGGGAGTGCACGGCCCCAAGGCTCCCGGCTCCTCGCTGGGGGCAGCATTCCATCCCAGATCCGCTTCTGACGGTCCTGGGGCCCGATCATAGGCCTCAGGGCCCGAAATCGAGGGCAGATCGCCGGGATTGAACATATCGTATGATACCATATCGTCGGAGATCTGGATTTCTTTCGTGGCCTCCAGAGGCGATGAGGGGCCACGGGCATCGGCGATGCATCGGCGATGCATCGGCGATGTGGCTCGATGTGGAGAGCCCGATTTTCTCAACGCCGGCGTCACCGGTGCACCGCCGACGTCGCCGATGCATCGTCTATGCATCCGCGATCCAGCCACGCGCAGACCGGGGTGGGGGGAGGGGGGAGGGCGCCTTAGAAGCACGCCTGCTTCTCAGAATGCGCGGGCCTCCTCTGTAGGTGCAGGGTTGGCGCCTTCTGAGGAGAAACCTCCCTCCAAGAAGCGCTGCCCCCCACCCCCCCACCCCTTGTGCGCGCTGCCCAGCGATGCCTCGGCGCTGCGGCGCGATCCCCCGACGCCACCTGCTCGGACCCCATCTGGGAAGCCTTTTTTAAGCTCGGCCCCGCGCCTCCGCGCCCTCCGTCGAGGTGCGGAGCGAGTTGGGCGAGGTGGCCGGACGCGGTGCCCGTGCGCCTGCGAGGGAGCCGCGGGGGGGGGGCGAAGGAGCAGAGCCCCGAGCGATTGGGGCAGGGCGTGGCCAGGGGAGATGGTGCGGAGGAGGGCTCAGTCGAAGGGTTTCGTATGTGTGGTGAGGTCTTCCTCAGTTCCGGAGGGTTTCCTTCATCCCGGCATCATCATCATCATCATCATCATCATCATCATCATCATCAGCATCATCATCATCATCATCAGCATCAGCATCAGCATCAGCATCATCAGCATCAGCATCAGCATCAGCATCGGCATCAGCATCATCATCATCATCATCATCATCATCATCATCAGTATCATCAGCATCAGCATCAGCATCAACATCATCATCAGCATCATCATCATCAGCATCATCATCAGCATCGTCTTCATTACCAGCATCATCATCAGCATCATCATCATCAGCATCAGATCTCCATCATCTTCACCACCAGCATCATTTCATCCCAATCATCATCATCGTCATCATCATCATGCTCCCTTTCTCTCCCTCTCTCTCTTATTCTCTCGGCCCCGCGCGCGCGTCGTGGTCGTCTGCAGCTGTTTCGGCCCTGGGTCCTCGCGTGGCGTCCCGGGGCGGGCGCTTTGTGCAGGAGCTTGCCCAAGCCGCCGTCGAGGGTGCCGGGGAAGTGTTCTTCCAGGGTCTGCGAGCCGCGCTCTACGAGCGGCTCGTAGGCCAACCACTGGCTCCTCTCGTGGACTACGGATGCTCCTCCGCGGGGTCCTCGTGGTTCGCTCAGGCCGACAAGAGCGGCGGAGAACCTTGCCCTCGTGCCGCTCGTGGTGCGGCCTGTCCCACCGTCTGCCTGGGGCTGGTGGTGGATCTGAGCAGCGGGGTGGCCCTTTTTTGTTAAATTCGTCGGTAGTGGCCCTGTTGGTGACCACCGCCGCCTCGCCTGCAGCCTCTGTGGGGTTTTTTGCGTCGGGGCCCTGTGGCCCGCTGGCGGGGGTCGTCAGGCCTCCCTCGCGCGCGGGCGTCGGTCGGAGCCGCTGGTGGGTTTGGTCGCGGCCCGCAACGTGCCCTGGCCGACTGCCCAGGAGCGCAGGCTGAGGAGTGCGCGCGGGCTTTGGCGCGAGGCCCAGCGGCTGCGTCTCGCCACGCCTGAGTTCAGCGAGCGGCCAGCGAACCGCCCGCTCGTCAGCTGCCATGGCGGACGACGCCTCCTCGTCGGGGGGGCTCGCCATGGCCCGCCGACCTTCGCCCGCGTTCGCTTCCAACAGCGTCGCGGTGCGACTGCTGGCTGCTGGACGAGGGCGATGCGAGCTACGCGACGACCCCTTTGGCCACCTGGCCTGGGGGCATCCTGTCGGCGTTGCCTGGGTCCTTCCGCTCAGCCGGCCGCTTCGGTCTGGCGGATGGGGAAGGATGCGTTGGGCTGGTGGGCCACTTCCAGGTGGTCAAACGTGCCCATGCTCGGCGCGGCGTCGCGCCCGCTGAGCACGACCGCCTCGGCGTCGGTGGTCGACGAAAGGGGCCCCGACGGGCCTATCCCGTTCGAGTCAGCCCGTGGTCGCGCGCATTGGCCGCGCTCTTCGGGGGTCGTCGGCCTGCGCGGCGGCTTCGCGGCGACCCACGGCGCCGCGCCCCTCGACGGGGAAGAGGCGCCCCCTAACACGGAGAGGGCAACGCCCCACCGCTCCGCGGATGAGTTCGCGAGGGCGAGTTGGCGAGTTGGACGGCGACGCCGACGCCGCGGAGCGCCCCCCTCTCCCGCGCGAGCTTCGCCGATGCCAGCGGCGCCTCCTGTTCCACCGCGGGGCCGTCTCGGCGCGCGGCCGAAGCCCGGCGAGGCCCGCCCCCGCGCGGGTGGAGCTATCGCCGCGGCTTTGGACGAGGGGGCGCCGCCCGTGACCCGCCGGAGGCCCAGCTGGAGATTCAGCGGCCGATGGCCGCGAACGTGGCCCAGTCCGCGGCCTTGCCTCTGGGAGCGCGCCCGCTCGCGCTGGGGGCCCGCGTCGAGGCGCTTCAGCTGTTCGCGGGCGAGGCGGCGCGCGCGGGCATTTCTCGGGGGGACCTGCAGTCGATGTTTGCGCCGTTGCCCCCGCAACCCCCGCCCGGGCCCCCGCCCGCGGCGCGTCCGCTGCCGCGCCCCGACGCCGCCGTCGGCGTTGGCGGCGGCGCGGGGAAAGAGTGGGCCTGGATGCGCGCGTCCGCCGCTCCCGCTGCCCCTGGCGCCACCGCCGCCCCCTGCTCCTCCGGGACTGGCATGCCCGACCGGTCTGGCGGCTTCGTTGGGGGGGGGCGCCGCGGGAGACGACGGGCCCCGCGCGACCGGCGCGCCGGGGTCCACCATGGAACTGGCGCTGCTGCGTCTGCGGGAATCTCTGCAGCGGCCGGGGCAGCCCAAGGCGGCGACGCATCCCCTCCTGGAGGCGCTCAGCGACCCTTTCCACCCCCCAGCCCGCGCGGCGATCGAGGGAGGGGCTGCCGGGGCCTCGCCGCGCGGGATCGCGCGCTTCGTGGATTGGCCGCAAAGACAGGCGCGGCACGGGAAGAAAGTTCGATGCATCCTGGGGGCTAACCTTGCGCGGTCTCTGGGGGCGCAGCCGTCTGCGAACGCCCCCGCGGCAATGTTCCAATATTTCCGCGGGCGCAGCCCGCTGGGGGCCCGCCTGGCAACGCGCGAGACGCTCGCGCGTTCGGCGCGCGTCCGAGAGCGGGGGCGCAGGCGGGGCGGGGGCCCCGATGAGCAGCCAGCGCGCGTTCCTCGACCAGCTGGCCGGGGGCAGCGGTTATACCTGGAGGCAGCTTGGCCCCTGGCGGGTTCGGGGGCGGCTCCAGCGCCGGCGACCGGCATCCGCGCGGAGAGGGAGGATCAATTGCTTTTCTCTCCTCTCGCGGACCTTCGCGGGCTGTCGGCGCAGGGCGATTGCGCGATGGAGATGGCGTTCTTCCGCGCGCCCGCCCATGCGCCGAGCGGTCAGGGGGGCGGGCGGGGGCGGCGCCGGCGCCCGCGCGGCCGGGGGCCCTCCCGGAGGCATAGCCCGAGGGCGGGGCCCTCCTCCCAGGAAAGAAAGCCAGCGGGGACTAATGGGGGGGGCCCGCCCATTTTGCGCGCTGTGGCCGAGGGCGACGGCCGCGGCGAGTCGGGGAACTCGACGACGTTGCGGCTGCCGAGCGCGCCTGGGCAGAGCGGAGTCGCGGCGGTAGGAGCGCGCCACTCCAGCGATGCCGTTGCGACCCCGCAGGGGGGCGCGCGTTCCACAGTCGCGGTTCTTGCTCCGCCCCAGGCCCCCCTCGTGCCCCGTCGGAACCCTCGGCCCCCTCTCACAAAGGTGCTGCCAAGGTCGCGCCCTCTGTCACTGACCTCTCCGCCTTGCTGGTTTGTTTCCGGGCGTGAACGTCGATGTCGCCCGCTGGCCATTGTGCCAGCCCAGGCGGGGCAGGGTGCTAGGTCTTCTTTGACTTCGTTCTCCCGCTCATCTCTACGCGCGCCAGTTTGGGGCGCTGCCCCCGCGGGGCATGTCCTCGCGATCCTTGACCGTGCCTTCCAGCCCTCGCTCCGGCGCCCCCCGCGTCGGCGACGTCGGGTCGCTCTCGGGGGTGCTCGCGGCTGAGGCGCGCCGCGCGCGCTGGCGCAGCGCGCTGTGACTACGCGCAACAGGCTGACCGCGGGAATGCCTGGCCCCGCGCCCCCCCGAGGCTCGCGCGCGCAGCGGCGCCGCTTTGCCGGGGGGGCGCGCAGGGCCACGTCGAGCGGTTCCGCGCTGTCGCAGTTCGCCTATCCCGCGGGGGCAAGAGCGACATGGGGTGGGCGTACTCAAAGTTCGACCCCGCCGAGATCTTAGTTCATGGACTCTGGCCACCTACGTTGCAACTCTTGAGGCGCCCTCCCCCTCCTCTGCCCTCGTGCCTGCGCCCGTGAGGGCCTGCCCGAGCAGCGCCCCCGTTGCCGTCTCGTCGGCCGCCGCGGCGGCCCAGTGCTCCGCCCGCGCCGGGCCCTTTGACCTTCAGGGCAGAGCGTCCCGCGCCAAGTAGGATAATTCGCTTACGTTTGATCCCGCCCCTTATTTCTCCGACGCCAGCGTCCGCGCTGCCTGTCCGGGCCCTGAAGTCACGCGCCTTCCGCGCGGAGAGTGGCCCGAGGGGCTCGGGGGCGCTCGACTCCACGTGAATCGAGCGGACCTGCGGCAGTTTCTTCGGAAGTGAGACTCCTGCGGCGCTCAGTTTCTGCCCCCCCCCCCCCCCCGACTTTGCATGGGGCGAGGCGCGCCGGGCATTACATGTCCCTTAGGACCCCGAGTTCGATCGTCTGATCCCCAATCCCACGGTGGTGAACAGTCGCTGTCAACGCATGTCCTCCAGCACTCAACGCCTCGGCCAGGGCTTCTTGCATTGCCGCGTGAGCCTGGCCGCTGGCGATCGCCTGGCTGGGTCGCGCGATGACTTGCTCGAGTCTTCATGTGCCTTCAAGGCGCCGCCTGCTCAGGCCAAGCGGAACGCGTTGCGAGTGCGGCCCCTTGCGGGCCGCCCTCTGTCTTTCAAAGCATGGCGACCCGAGCTGAGAAGCGCCCGATGCGGCCCCGCCCCCGAACGCGCTCGGGATGGGCGCCGACGCGGCAGCTGAGATTGCCAGCTCCGCTCTTGAGGGTCTCCCGCGCAGTTTCGGGGCTCTTCGCCTTGAGGAAGCTGTGCATCGCGCGCCTTTTCCGCGCGGCCCTTCGTCGAATCGCTCAATGTCAACGGTCGCACGGGGTTTCAGAAGCTTTCCTGGACAGGCGTCGCCCCGCGGCCCGATGACCCGTCGCGTCGCGATCAGGCGGCGTTTGCATATTGCGGCCGCGGGCGCACGATCGCGGGCCCCATTCAGCGGCCGGGTAAGCGGGCCCGCGCTGCGACGCGCAAGGCCGTCGTCGGCGCCGAGGCGGAAGGCGGGGTGGGCATTGCCCGCGCCCCGCTCGTTCGGGCGGTGGCTTTGCGCCAGCAAACGCGTATCCGAGTGCGCCTCGGTTGTTCGATGCACGCCGCATCGGCGTCGATGGCAGGGCGTTGGGTGCAGATCTTCCTGCGTCGCCGGCCTCCTCTGTCGGTGCGCACCCGCGCTGGCACCACCCTGCGCACCCTCGAGGAAGAAGGACGCGGAGCATTTGCCCCCCCATCTCTCCGCGCGACGAGTTGCTCGCCCTCACGTTCTGCGCGTCTGCGGCCCCGACCGACCTTTGCGCGAGTTCTGCCCCCGAGGTTTTCGGCGCGGACGCTTCCCTTGTCTGGGGCGGCGTCGCCCGCGCGCCTGCTTGCCAGCATTTTTCGGCCGAGCTACGGCGCAGGTCGGATCGCGGCGGGCGGCGCGCCGCGCTGTGCGATCGCCGCCTGTTAGCCGCGCTGAGCCGCGGTGTTTCTCACGGGCCCTAGTTCGCCCAGCTGCGCGCCCAAGTGGGGCCCCCCTCTCTGGGCCCTCCAGCCGCGCCGTGCTGGGTCACCGAGCTGTCCGAAGCTTGGCGTTTCCGCTTGGCCCGCAGATGGGAAATCCGAACGCCGCGCCATGTCAATATCTTGGAGACTGCAGTCTGCAAAAGCACATGCAAACACCGTTGCATGTTGGTACCCGCCCACGGCCAGAGCAGCTCCCCTGGGCTCTCACACGCCCTGAGCATCAGGCTGCCATAGGGGGGGGTCTCTACCGTGGCGGCCCGCGCGTTCCAACCGATGTGCCCGGGCGTGGCTGGCTGAGGCAGAGTTGGGGGACTTCTCCAGGTTTGATTGCGCGGCTTTGGCTGAATCCCGCGCGTCTTGCCCCCTTTGTCTGCGGGGTCGCTTGGTCGCGCTGTTGCTGGCTCGCGGGCCCGGGGGCGCGACTGCTCCAGGGCGGGCGGCCGCCTCCCCTTCGGGCGCGGGGATCCCCAGTGTTCCCTGTTCGCATTCCTTGTATGGAGGCAGCGCCTCCTCCGCGCGCCCATTCCAAGGGAACCAACGCCTCGCGCGGCGCGAGAGGCATGGGCTCCCCCCGCGCGGAATAAGTAGTTGCATTATCATGGAACAACGTTGCGCCGCCGTCGTTGTTAACGCATGGTCGTCGCCATATACGTAACGGTAGTTGTTGCTACATGTAGCAGTCGGCGTTACATAGTGAGAAACACCGAATCAACAACAGCGCATACGATTCAGCAGCATCTGGAAGTCCATCGGGGTATCCGTGACCCGCGTGTTGCATGTAGGTGATCGCGTGAGTATAGGATTGCATGGTTCTTCTCGACAGCGCCAGTTTGCAGATATCTTGTGTGGAATACCGTTATTTTCGATGAATGAATTGCCTGCTTCAGGCCAAATTTTTGGAGTAATCGATCGGTCCAGCACACACGTTAATCGCAGCTGTGCGAGCACAGGATATTATGAAAGAGCGCGCAGTTGCGAAACATATATAGAGAGAGTGAAGCCGTGAGTGTCTCTCATAAAATATTCCATGGGCTAACGTGTTGTGACGGTAGACGGAGTGGACAGGGTAGCAACAGAACGAGGGAGAGATGTAGATAGACAATAGTAGAGAGAGCGCTAACGATACATACGTGCCTCCATATATGTGTATGTATGTATATACAGATTTACTGCGACGTGTGGCATATGCGTAAATATGAATGTGTAGATAAAGAGAGAACGCACAACACAGTAATACCCATATGTACACATGTGTACATACATATGTATGTATACATGTCCCAAATATGTTTGTATGTATATATATACATATATGTATATACATACATATTTATACCCATACATTTATATATATATAGAGCCATGTGTATAAATTTATATATTTATATGAAAGGATCACAAACATTGAAAAGAAGCAGGCGTGGAATGCCTGCGATGATGCAGGGCGTCCACCGATAATGTTTTGGTCTGGCGCGCTTCTCGTCCCAGCCCGCCCCCCCCTGAGAGCCAAACGCATCGGCGGCGAAACCCCAAAACGACCCTCGCCGATTCACGATTCAGGCAACTCGATGGGCTGCGTGTCCACGGTTCGGAATTCGTCGAACACGTGATGACGACACCCGAACCTTCCCCCCGCTCTTTTTTTCCGATTCAGGAGAATCGATGGTTGGTGGGAGCAGGGCTCGGATGTCGCCACCTGCTGGGAGCCAAGCGCGCACCCCCCGAGGAGGTCCTCCACCAGCCGTGCCCGGGCAACCTGCCGGTGGCCCTCGCGGAGCGGTCCCGCCGCCAGGTCGGGCGTTGTGCGGCGGCCCTGCCACCGCATTCGCCGCGCCTTGCGCGCGCCGCCGCCGTCGCCACCGTTCTCGTCGTCGTCGTCGTTTTCATCGTCGTTTTCATCGTCGTCGTCGTCGTCGTCGCCGTGGCCGTGGCCGTCGCGGCCGCCGCTTTCTTCGGCCTTATCGTTGTCCTTGTCCAGGTCGATTGTGGGGCGAGTGAAGGTACAGGCCTCACACATGTCGGAGAAACGTGCGACTCGAGTTCGTCGGAACTCGGGTTTGCCGACGCTTTTTGACAGGCCCGTCATGGGTTTCGATGGTCCAGTTTTCGTGGGATGTGTGCACCCGGAGCTCGCATGAAATGTCGGATCGGGTTGGGTCATATTTGTGACGGCCCCATCAGGCCAACCCGAGTCCCCCGAATCCGAGTCTACGTCTCCAGTCAAATGTCGTCGATTATGGGACAAGGCAAGCTTCGAAGACAAAACAGCACTGCATACGCATAAGCTTTCGGAGCTTCGCGCGGGATGTCTTTGCTCGGCGCGACGCCGTCGTCTTCGTCTCCGTCCTTGTCGGTTGCCCTTGTCGATTCTGGGAAGAGCCGAACCGTAAACGTTTCAAATGGAGTCCGAGTAGACGGGGTCGGAGGATCGCGCCGCATCGGCGGTGCATCCACGATTTTATCCACGCCGACGTCTCCGATGCATCGCCGACGTCGCCGATGCATCGGTGATGCATCGACGACGTGGCGCTGTCGCACGTGGATAATATCCTTCTGCTGGGTGCCGTACCCACCTTTTCTGTTCCCCGCTCCGGGCGTCCCAGCATCAGTTTGACCTTCGTATTCGCCGCTGTTTTGGTCTGGGCCGCCCAGGTGGGGTCCGAGCGGGTGGGGTCGGAGGATGGCGCCGCATCGACGCTGCGCCGACGGGTCTGGTCGATCCAGAGCTTGGTTTTCTCCTCCACCCCGACTCCGCCGGCGAACCGCCGATGCGCTGACGATGCAGCGCCGAATCCTCCGACCACACCTGCGGAAGGTTCGTGTCGTGTCGACGCGGCTCAGATCTCAGCGCGGGCGTTCGAGGATTTGAACAGAAGCCGCCAACATGGAACGATCTGGCGATCGAGAAGCCGCTGATCGTTCCGGGTGGAACGATCCACGCGGTGTCAGAAACCAGCGCCGAAGTCGGAGCTCAAGAGACGGGGGTCAATGCAACGGGGGTCGGTCAGAGCGCCGGATCTTGCAGGATCCTTGGGTGCAGGATCCTGCATGGCCTGACTGACCCGACGACGACGACGGCGGCGACAGTGACGGCGACGACGACGCCACGGCGACGACGACGGCGACGGCGACCGCGACGACGACGATGACGACGACGGCGAAGACGACGACGGCGACGATGCCACGGCGACGACGACGGCGACGACGACGTCCCCGGCGAAGTCGTCACTGCACGGGCCCGCCGTGTCTCCGTCTGGGCTATTCGTCTGCGTGGAGCTCCCCCGACCAGCGCTCGGCCTCCTGGGCGGCGTCGTGCGGCGCGGGCGTGAGTTCCTCGCGCTCGCGCATCGTCGGCTTGCGGGGACAGGAGGAGGAGGAGGAGGAGGAGGAGGAGGAGGAGGAGGAGGAGGAGGAGGAGGAGGAGGAGGAGGAGGAGGAGAGGAGGAGGAGGAGGAGGAGGAGGAGGAGGAGGAGGAGGAGGAGGAGGAGGAGGAGGAGGAGGAGGAGGAGGAGGAGGAGGAGGAGGAGGAGGAGGAGGAGGAGGAGGAGGAGGCTCCATGGGCATGACGTAGCACTCGGCCCCGCGCTTGGCCCACGTGCCGGCGGCTGCGCTGCCCTGCGCGCTCCCAGTGGGCTGCCCCGTGCCCCTTCGGGCTCTCCGTCTGGGCGGCCTTTGACGCCGGGCCCTCTGGCGGCCGGCCTGCGCGGCGCCGCGGGCCCGGCGCTGGGCGCGTTCTGTCAGGAGGAGAAAAAACACACGATGAATCGCCGATTCCCCAGAAAATGTGGGAAGATGTGGGCAGTGGGGGGGAAGACAGAAACCCAGAAGATATGGGAAGATGGAAGGCATCCCTTCATTTGTGTGTGTATCTATTTGTGTGTCCCAGGGCCCCTTCATTCTGGGCACCCCGAGCGGCCTCCCGAGGTTGTAGGTTTAGAAAGCCCAGGGTTCGCCAGGGGACTGGTCTTCGGAGGAGGAGGAGGAGAGATAGCGCCGAACATGGCCTCGACCTCGGGAGTTTGTCGGCGCGCTGCCTCTCCGTGTCCACCCGCGGCAGATGTTGCTGATGGCGGTCGAGGCCGCGAGCGCCGTTCGCCTCGTCGCGGTTCCTCTTCGGGAGCAAGAGGTACCCATACCTCTACCCTCCAGTCGTTTTCTCCTTTTTGGGCCTCCTGGGCCTCCGTCGTCACCACCTCTGCATTCGCCTCGAGGATCTGGTCAGAACGCACCCAGGGAGAGGTCCAGGGAGCAGCGGTATCGATGCCTTTTGGTTTCCCCAGGTTTTCCACAAAGACGACGAAAACCCTTTGCAAAACCCCCCCTTCGGATGGTCTCGGGAGGATTTCGGCGGTATCGAAAGGAAGCTAGCCCCTAGCGAACCCTGGACTTTTTATGTCCAGACCTCCTAGTTAGATGAGGTCCGAGTAGATGGGGTCGGAGGATACGCCGTATCCTCGATGCATCGGCGATGCGGCTTGATGTGGAGTCCGATGTTCTCCACGCTGGCGTCGCAGATGCATCGCCGATTTCGCCGATGCATCGGCGATGTATCGCCGATGTATCGCGGATGTGGCGCGATCCTCCGACCCCATCTACTCCGACCCCATCTAGGAGGCCCCTAGAGGAGGGGTCTTCGTCCGGGGGGGGTCTCCAGAGAGCCCTGCCCTTCCAGAGGGTGCTAGGGAACAATCGTCCAGACCCAAATCTATGTATGTATACTTCCACTTACATGCGCACATGCATACATACATTCATACATACATACCTCACACACATCCGCACATAACGGTGTAGTGTTTATACACATGTATGTAGACCTGTAGTCAGACTTCGGGTTGCTTCCAAGCACGGCCGGGTCCCAAACTCAGAGGTCCTCGGGCTATTCTGGTGGCCCTCCTGGAAGGTCAGGGAACAGAGAGAGAGGGGGGGGAAAAGACAAGGGCGCCCGCGAGGGCGCGAAGTGAATCGCGCTTCGCGGTTTGGCTCCGATCCCTCATCCTCCGCTTCGCCCCTGGGAGGCGGCGCGAGAGCGCGAAGTCATTCGCACTTCGCGCTTCGCGCAGCGCGAAGCGCGAAGCTGGGAGCCCTTGGAGAGAGGCCCTGTGTTCGTTACGGCCCGAACATCCTTGGACTGCGTGTGCGTCGCCGCCGCAAGGGCGGCGCGCACGCCCAATCATCTGCTTGCTCATAAGTTCCGTTGCGGGCGCACCTGTCAGGAATAGGCTGATTATCCGATGTGCACCTCTTATACTTCTATGTATACACTTATGCATACACATACACATACACGTATATCCTAGAGAGGGAAGAGAGAGAGAGGGAGAGAGAGAGAGAGAGAGAGAGATACAGACACCGGCATGGCAAAAGGCCCCGAGAAGATTTACCTGGAGTTGCTTGCATTGCTGTCGTATTGACTTACATGTATTCCTGTTGGCTTGATCGCTGTCGTCGGCGCCTCCCACAGGCTTTTGCATTTGAGGCTTGCTTGTTTTTGTTAGTTGCAACCCATGGGAAGGGGGAGATGAAGGCGGCGCTTGGGGGAGAGGGCGCCTAAAACCAGCAAAGTCAGGAACCTCAACCATAACACAACGCACAACAGGAAATCCATAGCCCCGAGGCTAACAACAACGAACCTAGGCCCCGATTGTTCTTTCATTAGAGAAAGCAAGCCCCACGTGTTTTAATGCGTCCCGTTCGAAAACCAGTCGGGGCCTGGGCTTCGAAGATTCTTGTTGCGCTTGGCTCTGGTTTTCTTGGTGTTCCTTATGTTTGGGTTGATTTTCGGTTTCTGCTGGTCTCTGGCGCCCCGCGCCCAGCTGGGCCGTATCGGGGGGGGTGGGGGGGAAGCGGCGGCGGGGAGCACGAGAGGACGCAGGCAAACCTGGAAAAATGAGCCCCTCAGGCAAACAGATCAACGAAACCAAGGCCCCGACTGGTTTTCGAAAAGGAAGCACTGGAACACCTCAGGTTTTGTTCCGTTTCCTCTTGAAACATGAGACCAAGGTTTCGTTGTCCCCCACATGTCAAGTGGGGGTTCGAGTTTTCTGTTGACCCATGTCGCGTCCACATCACGCACGCGCAGCACACACACACTAACACCAGACACACACACTACGCAGCACAACACCATCTCCGCTCTCCCCTCCCCCTTGTCCTTTCCCCTCTCACCCGCGGCTCTTGTGTCCCACACCTTCTCCCAGGTTCGGACAGTGTGGCAGGCGTGTCAACTTCTCGACACCAGGGGGGGTGCGCAGGGGGTGGTCCCTCGGCGTGGCCACTGTGCGTGCCAGGGCCGGCGAGCGCGGCATGCGCGGCAATTCGACTTGTAGACACAGTGGCCCAAACCAGCTCGAATGCTGCAGGTGTTGCCTGGTCGCCCGCGTCGCCCATGCCGCCCAAATGCGCCATTGACGCACTGCCGCCTCCGTGTTTGAACCCAAAAAATTCCATGAGACACGCAGGCGTCAAGGTTAACATTGTGAATTTGCGCAGTTGTAAGGCAGGGTTGGTGAAATACGCATCTAATTCAGACCATCGACAGCGGAAGCATTGGTGGCCTGCTCCTCACCAGGTACGATGAGCTGCTACACCAAGGCGGGAGCGACGGTACCAGGAGGAACCCCTTGTCCGGCGGGTGTCCAGTAAATCAGCCAGGAAAGGTGGCTCGGCGTTAGTGAGATTTCGGCGAGTCGGCGACGCCGACAGCGCGGGCGTTGCCACGCCCGCGCAGGCCACGCCCATGAAGTCCACGCTCATGCAGGCCTCCACCCCTGAGCAGTCTCCACCTTCCA